TACATAACTTTGATTAGTAATAAAATAGGTAGTGATGTAGTACGCGATCTACCAAACTTGTTTTCAAGTAGTACGCGATCTACCCAAATCTACCAATAATAATATTTCATTTCCGTATTATTTTCATCTTTATTATTATTATTAGTTCTGAAAGGGATATAAAATATTAAACAAGTATTATTTTTATAAAATACCTTATACTAAAAAAGTGGTTTTTATGTCTGAAAGAAAATCGTTAAATATTGTATCTATGATACATGTAAAAATATAACAAATTTTGGATTATCTGTTGTTGACATGACTCTTCGATTTTTCAAACCTTATTTTATTTTTTAGAACTATTTATAAAATTTTAAAACTCAAAGGCCTTTTGTTGATTTACCGAATGAAATAGATGATAGATTAACAAGTCTTAAATGGTATGAATATGGGAAACATTTTACACTCTGATAAAACATCTGTGGATTTAGCACTCGTTTTAGCATTTTACATAGCATCAGAGATGAAAAAAAAATGATTTGCCAAAATATAATTTTAACTAAAACAGTATAAAATAGCAGGTATAACTTATGTAATGAAAAAGGCTTAGTACTTCAGGAAGGGGAAAATATAATTTTGGTGGATTAAAGCCCCTAATTCAATGGTGAGTACTAAAAAAAAAAAAGAATTCCGATTCGGAAAATTTTCCATTTCGAGCATTGGAAACAAAGCTGAATATTGCCTGAATAATAAATTTGAAATACAGAACGATAATAAAATATAATAACATCCAATGTAGGTAATAGGCAAGGTTTATCGATTATAATCTATAAACCTCGGGTAATTGGTATATAATATTGGGCGCATGTAAACTCCGCCACTGAAAAAAAAAATCAGGTATAATTGAGTTCAAGTAAACTCCGCCAGTGAAGAAAATCAAGTAGTAGAAAATCAAATTAATACGATATCTTATCAAAAAAAAATTATAATATAATATATAATATCGTTCACATTATACAGATTGTTTCTGTAATGGATGAGGACACTAGTATACGCGTACTCATTGTGATAGCCCGAAGTAAATTTTTTTGAAATCTCCAAGATCTTGGTTTATTCAATTTATTTTTAGGACATTACCTAAAATGTAAAAATAAACACTTAAGTTGTATTTTTTGCAAAATTCTCACACGGATCGAGACGTCACACTGTTTTTGGGGGCTTGTCGCGCGTTTTTCACACTTGAGTCACCAACTAAAAAAAAAGTCGTGTGACACATCGATTCGTATGTGAACACTTCAAGATGAACAGGTGACCTAACGTGACAAAATGTTATACCGATCAAATATTCGCTAACGTTTCCAATTATACCGCACGGGGTAGGTGTAATTATTAAACAGATTTTAAACAGGGTTTGACTAGTCCACAGACTAGCAACTCGTCCGGGACGTAGACCCGCAGCACTTTAGCAGTAAGCCGTGTTGGACGGTCGATCGGTACCCGAATGCGTTCATCCCGTTATTTAAAAGCATATGTGTGATTATTTTTAATTAATATATTTTTTTTATTCGTTTCCTTTTAATTTTAGATGAGGTTTTTTGATCGCTCGATTTTTTGCCTCATATTAACTTAAAATACTCTCTTTAATAAAATATCATATAATTAACTTTAATGAATTGTCTTTTTCTTATGTGCTCCGTCTTCAACGGAATCATGAAATTTTTAGTTATATCCCACACAAAAATCTTTAGTATAATAAGGTACGGGCAACGGTCTCCTCAACGACCATCCCACATGGTATGTGATCAAATGTCACGAGGTATTGAAGTAACACAACGACTCTACAACTATCTACGTATAATCAATTTTAATTATTTTAAAAAATACCAAGCTGACTTAATTGATTAACGCGGTATTTTTCTAAAAAAATCCTATTGTGGTCCGACCTCATGGTCTCGCCCAGTAAGTTGGTGACCCTATTTTTTATATATCTCTATGAAAAGTCATGTAAGTTACAACCAGGTCCATTACGGCTGGTCATATTTATATTTATTTTTCTGGTAGTTGTAACCTAACAACTGTTAGTAGTAGTTTGTTGTCAGTTAACACACACAATTGATTAAAACAACTCTGACATTGTCGACTTATAACAGTGATGAAATAATAACAAAATTAGGGTTAATAGAGTTTTAAATTATGTATTTTATTATTTATGTATTTACAAAAGATATGAATTACCGACTACATTGAACGGTCAGGGATTTTTACATTTTATTATGTATGATCTTCCGGTACTATTAGAGAATGTACCATTGGAATAACAAGAATCAATGTGGTTTATGTTGGATGGTGCACCTCCTCATCATACAAATGCAGTTCGACAACAATTACATTATCTTTTACCTGACAAACTTATAGGTAGTGGAGTTGTAAACAACGCTCAATATAGTCCAAGCATAACATGGCCACCACGCAGTCCTGATTTTAACCCATGTGACTTTTTCTTATGGGGTTTTATGAAAGAACAAGTTTATGCCAAAGAAGTAAGTAATAGAGATGAACTTTTGATGAGAATTAATAATGTAGCTGATATCGTTCGTCAAATGTATTGGAAAAAACTTGGAGTTCATTACATCGTCATGTGGAAAAGTGCATAGAAGTTAATGGGGGTCACATTGAACAACTTTTGTAAATAAAAATTGATTTTAAAATTAAAATGTATTTAATTATGATTCTTTTTACAATGTGAAAGCTGTTTAAATTACTTATGTGTGTTAACTGACAACAAACTAATATCACCAATGTATATCTTGAAGTGCTCTCATACAATAACGAGTAACTCGATTATTTTCACTGATATGTCCATCACTATGTATAATAGCTTTAACTTTATAAGTTTAATAAATAGTATGGCTTGTATTCCTGAATACAATTTGGCAACGTTGTACGGGTTTAACACATTTTTATTAAAAATTATTTTGGGCGCAAATGAGTTAGAAAAAAAGTGTGATGGGCGCAAATGGTTTTCACCGATATTATTATCAGGACACGGAAATATAACTATTTGCTAACATTATTATAGGATACCACGAAATAACGTATCTAATTATATTACCCTGTATGGGTTCATTATCTTGACGCGGCGCGGTAGCGGTACGGAGGGCTCTCGCACGCACATGTCAGAACGTAATATTGAGATCGCGAAAAAATGTTTATTTATCACTCTAACATACGATTCTAATTCAAACAATACGTAGCAACGATTATCTCGATTTGCATTTTGGAAAAATAATCTTTTTTTCCACAACATGTACGAGGGATCGATCGAGGTACATTTTAAAAATTGTATTCAGTTAATTAAATATTTAAGTTTGAAATTCTGTACTTTTTTGAATTTTTATCAATATTTATTGCAATTCAAATTACATAAATTAAAAATGTGGTTCAATCATTCCCTTGTACATATTACGGAGAATTCGTATATTTTTTTAGAATGAAAATCGTGATAATTGTCGACACGTAGCGTCGGAATTAGAAACAGTAGTTTTTGTTAAAAAAGTACGTGGTGGTGAGACCCCTTAACCATGGTAAAAGATGGGCTATAAGTTATATAATATGTTAAAAAAAAACGGAACTTCAATACCTGCATTATATTAGGAGTAATAACTACTGGCTTTCCAATTAATTTACATACTGTACATACGAATCCATATATTGTCGAAGACTATTGAAATATCGTTAAACGGGTAAACGAGTACATTTCATTGTGCATAATATTTTAATCGAGACCATCAATAATCATTGGACGTAATTAAAGTGATAAACATTTCAAATATTACAAAACTACTTAATAATAATAAATAAATTGAAGTACTAAAATACCGTATTATGTTGTTGAAACCAAAAAAAAATTTTTATTTTTACTTTTTTGTAGTTATTTGTGTATAGGCGAGGATAGAAAAGACACGAATACCTTGGGTTATTGACAACATTAAATTAAATTAAATAATCTTTGAGAATATTATACATTTTATTACTATGATATCGTGGTACCAGATATTTATTACGTACCGCAAAAATGACTGCAGCACTTCTACTTATTACATCGTACAAATTACTATAGAAAATTGGTATTATTTTCATGGTTTTCAGTGAAATGTTCTTCGTGTGGATATTATATTAAATATCACAATCTATAACAGTATGATTTAAAGTTAAAGTTTATAAATATAAATATTTATTTAATTATAAATATAAAATATTAATGAAAGAAGAGACACCACTATAATACTGATATAACATTTCAGAATTCAGACGATAGCTTGTATCTGCATACTATATAACTAGATTCGAAGTGTACTTTAGTTCGCCCATTAGTGTTTAACCTATTACGAATGAAATTCGTATGTGAAATGTTGAGGTTTTTTTTTTTATACAAACAGCGATTCAATACATATTTCTCGGTTTTATACAACGACATTTCTCTGAATAATGTAAGTATAAGCTCAAAAATGTTTAAAGATTTTAACCAGATATTATTTATGGTATATAGTCGTCACACAATTCTAATGTCCCACGTAATTAGGGAAAATATACGTGTGCAAAAGAACGTGGCAATAATGTTTTTTATGGATTCCAAATTCTTGACCACGTATCGTGATTAGGCGTAAAGTTAATAAAATTGAAAACAACGAAAATTAAGACTACCTACGTATGTGTATAACTCTGTTTTCAGTTCACAGAGCAAATACACACGAAATTCGACAATGATGAAATATATATTATATATTATAGGAATATAATAACAAAGATATAAACTACAAGAAATTGTATTTTTGGTTCTTACAATATAACAATATAACATCGTATTATTCGAAACGAATAATTTAATCGTATATAAAGTCATTTTATACATATGATATATATTTTATATTAAATATTGTAAAAAAAATTATCATAATAATTAACATAACATAAATAAAAAGGCACTCGCAATAGTACAAACATTTAAAAAAAGACTAGTGTTTTTCTTTTATGAAAAAAAAAAATAATAAACAACATTTTACACTAACTCCGTAGAAATTGAATGAAATTAACCTGTATACAAATAGAAATGAAGAAGAAAAGCTGAAGCAATGTGCACCTAAATGTCGTTAACAAGATCGTATCAATAATGAATAATAATGAAAAGAGTCCAAATTAAACTAATTGGGATTTTTAGGAAAAACATATTTGTAGCTCAGTCAGTCGAACACGCGTTCCTCGGAATCTCCGAAGCGTACGCTCGATTTATTTTATTTTTTATTTACACAGTTTTTGACGATAAAATCGTATTTTAAGAAGTGACAGTATTAATTAACTGTGAGGATAGTACGCAAATCGTTTAATAATCGAATGTATATGGTTTGTTTAAGATGAAGCGTTAAGGATTACGTTCAAACATTAATACGTACATGTAATTAAATATAAAAGTTTTTAAATGAAAAAATGCCAATAAAAGGACGATTGCGGCCTATAAAACGATTTAAGTCCGAGCATACTACGGTTTTACATTATATAGGTTTCGATATAGGTCTTATTTCCAGGAGGTTTTTCGACGTTTTCCAAACACACATACACATACACACATACACAGAAGATATACAGGTGGTTCAGAAAGAGAGAGAGAAAGAGAGAGAGAATGAAAAACAGTAATTTCGTTGGACACAAAAATATGAAAAACGAAAAAAAAAAAAGAAGTCGTTTGTACACCACCAGGTATCATCGGTACGAGAGGGTAAGGACGATGTGGTAGACAGGCGTTTGGTGCGCAGCACTCCAAAGAGTGGGCATCGTGAAGGGCTGAGGAGTCCGAGATCTTGTTCATCCGCGGGCTGGCAGGGCCGTGCATCGATCACAGGCGCTCGCCGCTGATGCACGTGGTGATGTTGTAGTACGCGTTATCTGGGAACCTGTCCAGCTGTATGTAGTCGGTCTCGTCGACCAGCAGCTTGTCCAGCAGCTCCATCAGCTCGGCGAAGTCAGGCCGGTCGTCCGGGCACTTGTCCCAGCAGTAGAACATGATGTTGTACACCTCGCGGCGGCAGTGCTGCGGCTTGTCCAGCCGGTATCCGTCACGGATGCGCTTCATGACGTCCGCCGCGGCCATACCCGGGTATGGGGTCGAGCCAAGCGTCACTATCTCCCACATGAGCACGCCGAACGACCACGCGTCCGACTTGGCCGAGTACATGTTGTCGAACAGGGACTCGGGCGCCATCCACCGGATGGGCAGCCGGCCCTCGGACTTGCGCTCGTACACGCGGCTTGAGGCCACGTCGCGCGCGAACCCGAAGTCCGAAATCTTGCACACCCGGTCCTCCGTCACCAGTATGTTCCGGGCCGCCAGGTCACGGTGAATGATCTGCGCAGAACAAACGTTAATTAAACACCAGTGTTCGACATCGTGACGGTTTGAATTCGATTGTTGTTGGCATATCGTCACCGTTACAATTACTCTCGTTAACACTACTAGCGTGACGGGGTGGGGGAGGGAGAGGATGAGATTTCTACGCTCTGTGCATTGTTCCACAACGATTTCTGGGTTGACACTCGCGTTTTGATTTTCGATTTTAATCTAAGAGATTTATTAAAAGCCAACTGACGTGATTCTGTGAAAATTATTACAATGCACAGGTAAAAAACACATGATATAAACCCAACGGATAAATTAAACAAAATTAAAAAAAAACATGGAATTAAATCCGAATCGAAGATATTGATACATATCGATGTTCGATCAGTAACATTTTTATTATTATTTTTTTTTTTTTTACGTATCGATTTTATCAAATTTCTTTTACCCATACCAAAATTATAAAATTACATTTTTAGTGCAATTCCTTAGAATTTATAATCCCTAAAAAATGTTTTTAGTAGCTTTTATCGATATTTTATAGAGTATTGCATATTTACGACTTTATCAATACGCTCCTCTGTTGTATACAGTACATTTATTATATAATGCAGGGGTGGATAACTGGTGGCCCGTGGGCCGCATCCGGCCCGCGAACTTTTTTTATCTGGCTTGTACTATATTTTAAAATTACATCATACAATTTTAAAGTTTATCGTCTATACTCTGACTTATCGAAATAATAATCGTTGATTATTACTAAACATCGTTAAATGTCTAAATGTTATATGTATGTATAAGTATAGCTTTCAACCATAGCTGATTATACGGAACTATTTAATTATTTATTTAATTTAATAATTGTTAATTAATAATTAAAATTCATATTTTGAATGATCTTTTTTTTTCTCTGCTCTGGCCCGCTAGATTTTAATTTTCTAAAAATTGGCCCTCAATTAACTTTGAGTGGCCCATCCCTGATATAGTGTAAAATCTGGTTGTACGGTTATCCGGTTTACTTACTATATGCGCACATGTTAGTGAAACAATCATTCTCCGCATATGGGAATAAATAATAAAATTTACACTATATTCATTATTTGTATATTTACGGAAACGTAAACTCAAAAATGTAAAAAGAAACTATATAAATCAAAAGTTCATTATTGGGTAAAATAAACTATCATATCAATGTTTTTGTCAGTTTTAAAAAAGAACGAGGCTTATGGTTATTAATATTCGCAACTAAATTAATTTTGTTTGAAATTTTAAAATGTTCTATTTTATGCAAATTTTTAAAATATTAATGTAACTATTACTAAATATAACGATTTAGTTTGGAAAATTCGAAATCACTAGTAGTATTATATTTTACGTAGACGAAAAGGACAGCGGTGGGATAAATAAAGAGAAACGATTTGTAGAAGACCTCAGATTTAAAAAAACACAGTTTAAATATATTTAGGATCAATATTAACTCGATTTATACATTGACTATATGATAGAAATTAATAAACAAACAAACACACCCGCACAGTAATAATTACAACTGGCACAGTGTCATTGACATGACGCATGACCCAGCCGGCAAACTTTGAAAAAATAAAGCATTTGTTGATCGTTGAGCTAGTACTAGAGAAAAATGCAAATCGGATAATTCGAGAATTTGTTTAAAATAATAGAAATTATTTTATTAAGGGCAAAAGACACAATGAAAATAATGATGCGAAAGAAGATCTGAGAAGGAACAGTCCACTTATAGGAAGTTTACGACATTCACGACGAGCGATATTATAAAACAGGGGTGGCCAAATTCCAGCTCACGAGCCGCATGCGGCCCTCGTCATAGTCGTATGCGGCTCGCGGTCTTATTTACAAAAACCAAAATATTTTAATTTTTTTGTATACATTTATAAAAAAAAAATTTTTATTGCATAGATACGAGGCTATTTTGTACAGATTAATAAACAAAAAAAAAAAAAATATTTATATGAATAATAAATTAAAAAATTAAACATCAAGTTAAATTTGTTTGCGTGGTATTTTTTTCATGTCCACTTTTTAGTAAGCTTCTTAAGATCTGGTTGAATTGATGTAAGAGTAGTTCTTAGTAATTCTGTGAGATGATCATTAGTGAAATTTTAACGATATTTTGACTTAATTATATATATATATATGTTTATCAACTGTTAGCTTTCTTAATTACTTTTGTAGTATAGAAGTACCGATTAGATAATTTAACTCTTAATATAATCTTATTAATACATGTGGCTCGTGTACATAGACATGTTGACCACCCCTGTTATAAAGTGAAGAAACACATAAAATACAGCAGAAGGAAATAGCAGAAGATAGACGAAGGAAGATTATTTATAGAAAATTGTTTTAAAAATATTAGGCCATGGTTACATAAATGCGGTAACGCCCGATTTACAATATGGACAATATATCGTGATTTATTTTTATGTATTTCGACATCAATAATCATATCTGTGACATATACCTACAGAGAATATTTTGTTGTTTGTCATTTGATAGTTTTCGAGATTCAATGATAGATTTTCCCAAAAAACAGAAAATAACACATAACACGAAAACACACATCGAAAATATTATTTCAATTCATACACCCCATAGATCAAGATATATTTTTAATACTCACAATTAAGTAAAGATTTATATTGATCTACTTTATATAGAGAAAAGTATATTATGATAAATTGTAATAAATTACGAATTCAAATTAATGGGTATTTTTTATTTTTTCATTTTTATAGGAAAAAAATGTTTATATCCTACTTTTGTATGTTTGTATACAGAAAAGAAACCGCGATATAATAAGTTATTATATTCAATTATATTGCGGTATTTTATTATTAGTAACGCACTCGAACCACGCGAGCGGTAAAGTAAAATTGTAATCATACAGGTGGTCAAACAATCGTTAAGGTCATTGTTTGAGCGTCTTAGAAAGTGGATATACAATCCTTTTTTTTAAGTATCTCATGACCCGTCAGCTGATCAACCCTCCCCCACAATGACCGGATCTGGGTGCACGTGAACCGTTTTTATATTCATATTAATAAAATATACCCATTTAATCAATGATACATATATAAATATACTATCCAATAACTACTATGTAATCGAACGATGTTATAAATGGTATTTCTAACGTCATTCGATTACATAACAATTATTAGATAGCTTTTAGGATTTTGATTATTCAAGTGGGCTAACGACTTATGTATTTTTAAATTAAATGAGTTAAAATAACTAAAATATTATTATTATTTAACAAAACAATGATTTTTAAATCTTATAATATGCTATTAGTATAAATATTTTAGGATAATGGAGGGAAAAAATTATAACTTATAAATGTAAAAAATTTAGGATATTCATATTTGTTAATCATTTTTTCGTAAGTACAGAATCGTTATTATGTAAGTCACAATTTTACAATTTATAATGTTACAATTTGAACATTAAATATTACTCCGAAATTTTTATAACTAATATTTATAAAAGTCTGTACAAAACAGTGATTCAAGTGGTTACCACACATCAGTCAGGGTTACATATATTTTAGGTTTTAGCAAAAAACGCATGACTACCACGTTCAGCACGACTCTTATGTCGTATCAACATTCTTACCACTCAACGGGATATTATAACTCACGGTTCATTTTTATAATGGGTTAAACAATTATTTTCGACAAATCACCAAGTATTGATACATCGTACACGATTATATGAAATATACTACTCGTGTATAGTTTTTTCAGTCACACCACGATTTTTAACACAACGGTCCTCAAGTACAAATGTCAAGAAATGTGTTGTGTAAGACTGTGTCAAAACGGTGACATGTTTTTGAAACATTATACTTTTGTTCTCAAATCTATAATATAGAAGCACACTAGTGTTAATCAAAATAAACGTGGGATGGTGTAGATTTATCAGAAAACGTAATGACAGTGTCGAATGCTGTTTTCGACCAATACTACAATATCAGTCAATGAATCTCGTCGATTTCGTAGTTATCGACCCGAACAGTTAGTTCTAAGGTAAATCGATTTTTTTTTTGGACAACCATTTCCGCCGCACTACTAACGTTGGCTCTTCTTCCGCCTCGATAATGAATTGTTATTATTGTTTAGTCGTGTCGTACGGTTATATCTGCGGCTATTGCCCTCTTGTACGCGAGGCGTATACGGAATGATTTCTCAAAAAAAAAAAAAAAAAAAATTAAAAACACAATTGCATGTTCTGCAACATATTTCGCTATCCAAAACGAAACCACATAACAATGAGTGACGGCCGATTGATGAAATATTCAACCACTGTATAACGTTAATGTATTATGCGTACGCGTGTTTTTATCACGAATATTTGTGCTGTTATTAAAGTAGCGCTTATTAACGGTTATTTTTTTGATTCGTTCAATATGCCGATTAGATACAAGCAGGTACACGCTTTTATTGAGGATGCTACCGATTTTCATCTTTATACTTATGTTTTTGAGAGATATATGGAAAAATGTAAAATATCACGCAATTTTTACGTACATCAATATTTTCTATACCGGAAACCGGTAATACGATCCTACGAGTTCATAGGTTTTTACTGATCTTATGTGGATTGGCGAATGAAAACAATTTTAGAACTTTAAACATGGTGAATTAAAATATAAAAACATAAGTCCTGATCGCTTAAGATATCAAATTTAGTATATAATAGGGTATTTCAAAAATAACGCAAGATTTAAATCTGCTATAAATTAAATTTATTTCTTTTTAAAAAAAGTAACAAATATATCATTCTCTTCGGAAGAAGTTAAGGTTTAACAGTGAAAAACAATATCGGGCATAGACCCTCCCTACTAGCTCAATAGGCGATTATTTTTTCCATAAAATTGACCATCACAAACATTTTTATGTTCATCTGGTCCTAATAAGTCTAAGGAAAATTACTGAGCTCAGTAGATATTCTTGTATGGTTACAAGACGGCGAAACTTGTTACACTTCAAGAAAAACAATCCCTCTGTTGCATGAGAAATTCTCGGACAGACTAATCTCATTGCGTGGCCAAAGCTACCCACTTCGATCTTGCGACTTGACGCCGTGTAATTTTTTCTTAAAGGGATACACTAAGTCACAAGTTTACCAGAACAAAGTTCGAAATATCTTGGAACTTAAGTAAGAATTTTGTCGTGTCCTCAATAAACTTGATAGAACAATGTGTGATCGAGTGATGGTCAACTTTATGGAAAGAATAATCGCTTGTATGGTAGGGCTAGTAGGGAGGGTCATATGCCCGATATTATTTTTCACTGTTAAACCTTAACTTCTCCCGAAGAGAATATTATATTTATTACGTTTTTTTTAAAGAAATAAATTTAATTTATAGCAAATTTAAATCCAGCGTTCTTTTTAAGACACTCTATATATATATATAAATAGATTTTGAAATGTAATGTAATAAAAGATAATATATCATACAAATTTTTGAAATTGGCGTTCATAATTTTCCAATACAATAAATTATTCTACTACGGTTTATCAATTTTATTTTAAAATCGAGTTGGTAGTCTAAATAATTGTTCACGCAATGGATGGGAAAATATCATTATTGCGGAATGTAATGTTTTTTGAAATGTGCAAGTATCGTGCAGGTAATGTATAGCATTAACTATAAACTATTGAATTCCATAGAATCAGCCTCATAGATCAGAATATTCAGCATAGGCCGAAAGATATTTCAATTCACATTAACTGTAAACTAGTGAAATTGACCAGTCAATGAATTGCAAAAAAAAAAAAAAATATTTAAATTAAATTAATAATGGAAACAATTATCATTGAACCAGAAAAATATAAATTAAGATTAATCCTCAGATCGTTCATTTTTAAAAGTTTCTCTATCATTATTTTAAATGTCGACAATCTATTATGTAGTATATTTTTGTGTTTATAATAAAGTTATTAATATATTATATTTACGAAATTTATTGATTTTAATCGATTAAATAAACTAATATATATTTCTAGGCAAAAATGTAGTCTCTATAAATTGATATGGTGTTTTTATAGAAAGTATATTGTTAATTTTAAGCGAATAATATACCTCGTGTTATATAAGCGTGGAAGCAGATATTTTTTTTCATAAAATCTAAGAGATATTTAATGTTTTTCGATTTTATTTAAAACGAGTGTATAGGTACGACGTTCGGAAACTTAATATGTATTTAAAAAAAAAAACGACACACCGAAAGAAGAAATCACTTTCGAAAGGACGCGGTCGCGGTTTTTGCAGACATCATCATCATCATCATCATCATCATCATCATTATCATTATGAGCCATTTCCTTCCTTTACACGTGTTTGTAAACGAAATTAATGTCGAAAATCATAACGAAAAGTTATTGCAACAATGCATACAACAATAAAACAGAGAACCTACAGCTACTTTATTTTATAGACTGAAGTTATATACCAAAGCGAAATAAACGTAATTAGCGTTGTTCAGTCGTCGACGTCGGTTAATTATACGTAATAAATAGTTTATATATATAAATACATCATAATATCATACACCTATAGAATTTATAGGTTCAATGTACCGTACCCCTTTAGACGACAAGAAGTCCATTCCTTTGGCGATCTGATAGCAGAACATAATGAGTTCGTGCGACGTCAATGAACTCGGCCCATGTGTATTCGTGTAGTAGTTTACGCCGCGAGAATTCCTCAGCACGCTCTGGAGTTTTCCCAATTTCGCGTACTCCATGATGACGAACAAGGGGTCTGCGGCGGCGAGAAAAACACAAACAACATTGCTGTTATTACCGTCGTCATTACCATCACAAAATCATATAGCACGGCGTGTTTAAAATAATGCATAATGCATGTATAAAATTATTGTGAAAATCCTGACGGTCTCGGCGAGCGAGAAATCGCATAGCGAGACTAATTATCATGTAGTTTTGTAGTCACTACTAGGTACTATTATTATGATTATTATTATTATCATTGTTATTATTGCGTACCTCTTTCCGAACAACAGCCCAACAGTTTCACGACGTGCGGATGGGGTTCCAGCGACTTCATCACCTGTAGTTCCTGTACCAGGTCGAGACGCTCGCGTTCGCCCGCATTGTCCTTGAGCGTTTTGACCGCTACCACCATGTTGCCCTTGAACCCTAAACATTCGTTGTTTAAAACGAATTATCATCACGCGCGACACATGAGACGGACGATTGTCCAAACGTGCCAAGTGAAAACTGCGCAATTTCAAATTGCACAAGACTACATAGCGCTCGTGTCTTGGGTAAAGATTTCACCGTAAGTATAACATTCGTATAGAATACACTGCTATGTTCCGCGTAATCGACTTACCCATGATATTGTACGCTTCGCACTTCCAGACCTGCCCGAAACTTCCTTCGCCTAATATCGAGCACACCCGTACGTGGTGTCTGGGCACCTCCCATTGGTCGACTTCTTTGATCGCGGACTCTTTTCCACCTGTGTACTGTCCATGAACCGACGGATCGGAGCCCCAGCTTTCATATCTGGTGAAAGCCCGCGGTCCGCTCCAGTGGTGCATGACCATCGGATCGTCCGATCTTGAGCTGTTCTTTTTGCCCTGGTTGGTTAAGGAATAAAACGGTTGTTAAGCATGTATAATGTAACAATACGGTATGTCATATTACGTCGTATACGTACAGTGTCGGAGACTACTTAAAAAAAATAAATCGTGTCAATTCCACGAAAAAAAAACTAGGAACTATCGTTTCTCTATCATACTAAAATATAAGATTAATCACCGAGTCTCTCTCTCTCTCTCTCTCTATATATATATATATATATATATATATATATATTGTGTTTTGTTGTTTTCGGATCATGATCGCGTTAGTTAGCTGTATAGTTACTAGTTACTATATTACTGAACCGGATAAAACGTGCGGAAAACGCCACGGTCTTAACACAATTGAAATTAATAAAAAAAAAAAAGAATGAAAACTTATGTTTGCCAAAAAAGGAATTCCTCCTTGTTTGTTTTAAAATCAGGAAATAGCAACCGTTGCTTGATCGTCGAAAAAGGAACTCGTTCCGTCGCAACGCACTTGGACTTATCTATATTTTATGCGGACGTGATAGTACGCGGTCGATTATTATTATGTTGACGTTGTGATTATGCACGTTAATATATTATTTTATTAAATTCAATATATTATATACTCACGATGGAGTTGACTTTTTTGGACTTGACTTTGGCGGAAAACAGTCTCTTGCGGAACAAGCAAGCGAGCACGCCGGCCGCCGTCAGGAAAACTGCTGCGACCACAATGGGCACCAGAGCCAGCACCATGTTGTTCTGCACCGGTTGCTGAGTGGTCACCGTGGGCGGAGTAAGCGCAGTCTCCGACGCATTTTTTGCTGTCTCATTTGGCCGAGTAGTAGCGACCACGGAATCAGTGGTTGCGGTGGAGGATGAGTCGGTTACTGTGGTCTTGGTTACATCATTTGCGCTGGACATCCCGGTCGGCGACGTGGACGCTTCGGCAACCGGCGCGCCGGCGGCCGTGACTGCTGCAGCCTTTTGCGTGACCGGTAACGCCGGTGTCCGCGTGGTAGGAACTTTGTTTGCGGCCGTGGCCGGCCTGGATGGCTGCGTGGTCTTGTTCGGCACGGAAGCCGGGGAGTGTTTACTCGGCGGCGTGAAAACGACGCCCGAAAAACCAGCTCCATTGACCGGGATCGACGGCGGTGGTGGCGGCCGGAACTGCGACGACAGGAAATTATTCGGCAGGCCCGCGCCCACGTTCGATGGTTTCCGGACCGCAGAGCCGGGTCCTTCCACCTTGGCCCACACTTGAGTCTTGGATGTCAAGTGCCCGTCGTTGATCGTCACATATAGGTATATGTTTTTACCCTCCTATGGAACCATGCAAATAAAACGTGAGCATTACAATACTGATTAATACGAACAAAGAACATACCTAAAGTAAAAAGGAAAAGGATCCGAGCTAACCAGCGATAATCAGAATCATGCGAGATACAAAAATGAATCGTAAAAATAAATGAAAATCTTCAAGGGAATTATCAAGTTTTAAATTACAGAACTATAGCTAATATTGATAGCACATACAGCATAGTTTCAAAACCGGTATTTATTTTCTCGCAAACTTTCCGAGTGAGGAATTTTTTAAACGGGAAATATCAAACTGCACTCCTAACCTATATCAAAATATTCTAATTGCACTTGAGATGAAAAAAAAAGGATTGGATGTATTATATTCATTAACTTTACACGATTTTGATATAAAGTCGAAAATGTACTTTGTACAGTTTTTTCGAACGATATTAATATGTATACCTACTACGATATATATTTGATAAACAAATGTACGTAATATTTTAGCACGCTATTTTTTTGTCATCAAGAATCCTAACTATGTTTTCAAATAATTTACTTCAAGAGCAACTCAAACATTACCTTTTGCGGACCCAAGTTAAATTCGACAAAAATAAGTTTTTACGACCTTACGTATTTTAAATGTTTATTAGTTTTAAATGTGTTGCAAGGTACCTTCTTTCTTATTTTGCATGACAACAATTTTTATATAACGCTCTTTATCATTTGTATTTAGGGCCGCTAGGATGTGTATTCACTCCTACGAGGAATACGGTGTTCGCGAAGTAATATTTCAATGACCTTGCGCAATATCACGAAGGTATTCGAGATGGGATTTTAATACAATTTTACTGACAAAAAGGTACGAGACGAATACGGCGAAACAACTGTCAATAAGCATTATATACTATATAATAATGACTATAGCAGTACAGTACTTGTATAATAATAATATTCAGGTGCGCGCGGCAGTTAGAAACACCGTGTGTTCTACTTTCGGCTTTCGCGTACAAACATTGCGAACAGAGTTATTTCGGTTTCGCCGAATAATGTGATGAATTATGTTAACAGTGTTAATCGTTACGAATGTGAATTATAACCGTAGAACATTATCACTATCACGAAACATAATTTTATTCCGATTAAACCATGTTTTCCAAATTATATTTTATATACACGAATACCGATGGTTGTGGTACAATAATATATTATGCACAATTATACACACACACACATGTATAAAACAACAGGAATTTTCATTGTTGTTATTGACGTTTTATTCAATTTTTTTTTTTTTAATAACAATTAGTCCTCGTCTCACTGTCCTCACTAGGACAATCCCATCCGCCTACATGTAATATATTTTTTTTTAATATCCTATGTCAAGGAGAAGAAATAAAAAATTAAGTTGACCGATTATTATTCAACACCGGGGACGATTCAGCTTTAGCTATTATGCAAACATAGAGTTTTATTTAACAATATTATAATGGTATCAGTGTATAATTAATTTTACAAATTGCATAGCACAAAAATAAAATATTCTATAGTTTCTTTATTACCGAACCTTATACTAGTTGTTCAGTATCGAGAAGCTCTTTTTTTAATCAAATACAGGTGACTTCTCATTATTGCCCGGTATAAAACATCCAAGCACGCATTGCTATGATGTGTAATTATGTGTATAAATTCGTCCATGAATACTGTTTCACATTGGCTTATATTATATCTTATTATATTCTTATAGTCTTATAACGTAAAATATTTAACTAACACCATATTACGAGTATATAACCAAAAATATTTAATAAAACTGAAAACTTTGCGTAAAAACTGTTTCATGCGGGAAAGAACCGATATGACTACTGTCATAACTAAGAAACAAAATGTTCATGATTTAAAGAGAATAACATTATCTAGAAAATATTGTTTTTATTTTTTAAATATCGAGACTACAATATAAGTTATTCAAGTTTGAAAAACACAAAATATTATTGATTTTTAAATAATAAGAACTTTTTTTGTATAAGTGATATCAAAAAAACAAAAGTAATATTTCACAGATAATATTATTCTTTACACGAGTATAAGGTGAAAATTTCGTTTCTTAGTTATGACTTCAGCCACCTTGATTCTTTCCCGCGTCAATTAGTTTTTAGGCAAAGATTTCAGTTTTATAAAATATTTTAAACATTTTACGTTTTAAGACTATAAAAACTCAATACGATATAATATAAGCGCATCATTTGACGTGGTATCGTTAATCATCTTACGAGGGTGCACTCACAAACAACAAACATAATTACATTACATTTTAATATTATATATTATACAGAATTTGCAACATCGATCAAATATTTATTTGTTATAAAATTGTTAAAAGCCTTCATATATATATATATATTGTTATATATAACAACATATAATCTTTATGTATTAGTTACATTATATATTAGTTTAATTAATTTTAGAATAGTATAAAAACGGAAATATTTTTACATCCAAGTATACGATTTTTGAAATAGTTGTGGCTGTCATTATAGTTTTCGCTTTGAAATGATAATTCTTAATTGTAAATTGTATTATTTCATGATACTATTGTTGAATGCCATTTAAAATCGTATTATACATTAGATCAAAATATAAAAAAGTTATAGAAATAAATAGCATCAAATTATATTATGTATATAATTTACGTGTAACTTAATTGTTATGTTAGATGCTTTCTTGGGCTATATTTCATTCTAAATAATGCTTTATTATTATTACTAAAATTTCCTCCTCAACGATTATTAGACATCTATTCTTATTATTATTCAATTTCGTTTCTCATTTTACAGTATCTTTTCTCTCTCGACGGTTTTACATTAAAATATTATGCTTGTTCTCCGTATCATCATTCAATCTCTTTTATTACTGCAATATTTTTTCCATTATTACGTTCTTACTGCATCGTATATATTTTTATTATTTATCTAAAATTGATGATTTGAGGGTCCTTACGAGTAAATTTACTTCATAATAGTTATCTCCATACATCTGCAATAATTGCACAATCAAGAATTGACATGCTGAATCGTGAATAATAATAGTCACATTGCACGCGTATCACAATACAGTATCTATACATATATACTGCATAGTGCGTATTATATTACATTGTTACAACTCAATAAGGTATATAATATATGTTACGTATATAAATTTGCCGTTATTATAATATACCAATATACATAAATACTGCAACTGTGTGTGTATATAATAGACATGCTGGTCTATTTTTAACGTGTTACAGAAGAATATTCTCTAGATGAACTCGCTAGGAATCGCGTTATCGGGGAAAAAATTAAATTGCATTTCCGAATATTACACTGTCAGCGAGCGATATTGAGGAGCATGGTCATGCTACATTAAGAATATGTAGTTCGAAATAATATTAACAATAACTATTTGGTGAAATACCTTGTTGGTCAGAGTCGTATTTGTGGTGACTTTTCCATTTTCATCGATGTCAAACGGCAATGGTTCCTCGTTATCCTGCACGATATTGAAACCCGTCGAGTGTTCCAGCCCGTACTGTAACGGTATCTCATTGCTCACGTCTGATACACGAACCCGGGCGACCACTGTGCCCACAGGAGCCGTGGAATCGACTACCCAGTTCCTTTCTACAAATATGGTCGGAGGGCTTCCAATTAGATCACTGCAAAGTCCTGCGAAACGCAAAAAATAAAAACATAAATACAATGCATATATCATATGAACAAGAAATAATATATTTCAGACGCATATTAAACGAAAATTGTAGGCGCAGGAAAAACGTTCAATTGAAACACCTAAACTATTAAGTATTTATTACATACTAACATAATATATAACACGACCAAAAAGGGAGGGGCTACACTCATTAGGGACTAAAACCCTCCTGAATCCACATCTGAGATAAGTTGTGATTTAGCATTTCCCGCATTTTAAAAACGGTATTACAATACGATACAATGCAATAGTGGTTTGACCAAATAGATACTGCAGATTTATACGTATGGTTCGGTTATTTTTCAGTTTTTGTTTTTATTTCGGTAATTGCAGTCTACTTTTTTTATGTATCTGTTCTCACTTTATTGCGTTTTCATTAATGAAATTCAAACTTTATATTTTTTTTCATATAATACTAAATTAAAACTACCGTAACCACAAAACTGAACAACTGCTACATGCTTAAATGCATGTTAACTTCGAATCATATACTCAGTTAAACGGATAATGAACTTTGATAGGTATCTATACAAAAGCTTGAACTGCGACAAAGTGGATTTATATATTTGGTTAACTGATGAGACGTGAATTGGAACCAAACTGGACTGACATCCAGCCTTTATATACATATTATATTAAGTGTATGTATATCGCATAATGCACGTAATGTATCGAGGATAGATTATACGCTTTCGTTGCAACAGTTAAGACTGTAAAACATCGTCGTCATTACAACCAAACAAACAAGAAAGAAGAAAATCCGGTGAAAATTCAACAACGAGACAACCGATGTCACGGCAACGATGGAGAACTGAACGGGAAAATAAGGGGGAAAAAATCATATTACTGGTGGAAGTCCGAATGAAGCAAGCACAGGAATTTGACGAATTACTTTGACATATATCAATCGATATTAATGAATGGTAAAACGTTTCATCAATATGACGATAAAAACGCAAGATCATTTACAAATAGTGTATACTCTGATCGAAAATCAAAACCAAGTTATTTTATTCGTACCATTTTAACGCATTAGCAATGGCGAATTTAGCATTTTGGCGCCCCTAGGCTTAATTACTCTGCCCCCCTCCCTTATTACTCTACTAAGAAACCAACAATATTTGGTCTAAACCCTTCTCTTCAAATTTTATTCAGTTTTTTTATTATTAAAATATTAAACCTTTAAAATAGAAAACTTCTAAAAATAAAATATTTCATCTCTATTATTTTACTTCAGATACCATTATTACCAGTACAAATAAACAATGCTTATACAGTCACATAACGGAAATATAAATAGCCAGATATGAAAATACCTATACTCGGATAGTCGCAGTGGTGTTTTGGAGGATATACGCGGGTATACGACGTATACCCGTAAACCATCATGGTGATTTAGCGTATACTTTATAAAAGTAACACCAATACGCTCGTATATGCACGTATACGCTCGTATACCTACTTCATAAATAGAAAATAATCTATAGGACATACGTTTATTTTTAGAAAATTTGTTATTGGTAGGTTAATAATAACATTGCTAGTTGATTATTATTTAAAGCTATCGATTATCGTCTAACTATATTCATTAGGTATCAAATTATAATATCTACAAGCGGCCGTTGACGTTTCTATACAAGAATATACTAAATGGTGTGACCATTGACAGGGCCGGCGAGAACTTCTGAGGGCCCCGGGGCTGCGGGGGTTCCGGGCCGCCTTTCCTTTGCAGTTATTTGACCGAGACGCACCAAGACCACTTGTACATGCTTTGGCACGACAAAAACATTGTATACAAGGCCGAAACGACAGTCCCTCTAGAACGTACGGGCCCCGGGGCTCTAGCCCTCCCTGCCCCACCCTCTCGCCGGCCATGACCATTGATCAAATAAACATAGATAGCCCACGCAATGATAAATATTGGAATCGCCTAAAATGTCTCAAATGGATTGTAGAAGTAATGGATTCCTGATAACAGAATGCGCTGGCGTTCCATATAAACATTTGTAATCTCCAATTTATTGTTATCCGTGATCAATGTTGATACATTGCTGATAAACTATAATCAATTTTAACCGTTGTCATTTATTGCTTTTTATTATGTATAGGTTCTGTTAAAGTAAATTGTATACATTTTAATTGTTTTGTAGTTACCTATTTGACTATTACATAATTATGCTTTTATTTTACAATAATTGTAAATAAAAAAAATAAATATAATAATATTATATTATATTTTTTGCTTTTAAAATCGGGCAATTATTGAATTTTCCATAGAAGCTTTAAATACTTAGATAAATCAAGAAATAATTTGGGATAAAATTAATACACATTTTTTTTTTTTTTTATATTAAAGTTTATACTTGTGAACATGAGATCTAGAAAAGACTTGAATACTCGCGAGCGAAGCGAGCATCTTTTTGAGTGATAAAATCTGATAAGTCTTGATCCTAATGAATACACAATAGTCATTGTCATAAATCCTTAAATACGCGTATACCTTCTAGTTTTTTTGCCAAAACACCACTGGATAGTCGGATATTCCCAATAAGCACATAGGTGCTAATAAGTTATTAATAATAACTAGTAACTAACTGTAATTATTTTATTAAAAATGAAATATTTTCAAATTGTAATAATAATTGTAATATTCTTACTACAGCCTATAGGTACGCATCATACAATGTATATATTAATATATTATTATAACTTTTTAAAATTATTTTTATTCGTGTTTATATGACAAATAAAAAAAATATATATTAAAATAAATATACCTAATAACACTTAATTCTATAAAAAAAAAATGCCACCCTAGGCTATAAACCTTTTAGCCTGTCCCCTAATCCACCTCTGCACATTAGACTTATTGAGTATAAAATTTTCTTAATAAAAAAGTTTTTTTTTCTTCTCATATCAACAAAAAAAAACTGTTTTGACACGTTGGCATACTCAACATTAAAAATGATTGTAGTCACTCTCCTTTTTAATGTGCCATGGATCGAATTCGTAAATTTTGTTGCGTGCACGTCGAATATTTGTTATTGATATGGACAGACGATTAATACTAACAGAGAGAAATTTCCGAGAAAACAAATTGCATTTTTTTAAAATTATATTCAGAAATGTGCATTATAATTTTCAGTGACGTAATATTTTTTATAAAAAAACACATTTTCTGAATAATTCCGATTTTAAACGAAGAGGTAAAGTAACTAATTCGTATCATCCGTGTTTGCATGTGAATAGAGTAATAAATCCGAGATACAGATTGAGTATCAAATATATACCTATATAACACGCTGAGCGAGCCATTATAAAAAATCCATTAAGATTTAAATTAATATTCATTCATATTTATTTTACTTTAATAGCATAAAATTAACGTTATTTCACGTTTTATATGTGTTATCTTAGTCCGGTATTATCAGAAAATTGTATAAGAGGAGAAAAAAGAACATTTAACTGATAATTATTATTTTCTTATTTTTGTTTTGCATTATAGTTAATAATGTCATTCAGAAATCAACATAAAAGTTTAGTGTACGGTAATCGCATACTCGTAACTTTATTAATGAACATATTCTTACACAGTCACATACACATATAAATATATATACTCACATAAATATATATGATACAATAACACGTACTTACACCGTGAATAAATTATTATGGTCGATGTAATGCTTTCGTATTGGGAAACGCGCACAGTTACTTTCACGTGTTACCAACACATCGGTAAAATAAAATGATTTACTCGTATCCTTGGTTTGTAGAGTGTTATATTTATTTCTCGGGTCTGTCACATATTTTTTATAAGTACATACAAAATCACAATTATATAATGTAGCAAATACAATTTTAAGGCCCCAGTGCAAAATATTTTAGAAGCCTTTGTACCGCACACGTGAACAATGGCACAAAAATAATTTTGAGAGCACTTGCAGTTAATTAATGCTAACTTTTTTATTCTGGTATTTATGTTAAAAATATTTATTACATTTTTTAATTTAAGCTGCGAGTAATAAGGAAACTCAAACGTGAGAATGTTTAATTATATTTGTCGAGCAGTATCACCACCTGTAAGAAAGAACAATTATTTTTTAAATTGAAAATTAGAATCAAATATATAAATTAAAGTTTATTTTCCTTTAGTTATAATATGCATAAATAAAACATATCTTTTAGTAACTTTGTAGAAAATGACTCTTTTCTACAAAAGTTTTGTTTATCTTTTATACATATATACATAGGATAGTAACATTTTGAAATCCCTAAACCGGGACATGATATTGAATGACCTTTTTTTTTTTTTTTGATGTAACGTTCATATGAAAACAAAAATAAGTATATTCTTTTGTAATTTAAATATTTATTAGCTAATACAAAAATAATACATTATTAATATACGTATAATCAACCCGATTAGATAACCATAATATAATGATATAGTATACAATATTATTCTATGCTTTATTATTAAATAATACAATATTAAATGTATTATTTTCTCTCAGCTTCTATTAACCAGGACAAACTGAATGATCTACCAGGACTTGCCTTTAAAACCGGAGCTGTCCCGCTATCTCGATCAAATTGAAACCAATGGCAAGCCTATACATGCCTCGTACTCGTATACACATCGTTTTGTTTATATATTATATTCGAAATGTATATATTTGTGTGGTTTAGTGACAACTGTTAAAATGGAAATAAAAAAACTCTTTACGAACAAAATTTCTAAATTAAGTTAGGTATGTCTAGGCTCATGGATATAACGTAATAATAATAACAATTGGAAAATTTGACTACCAAACCCATTGATATTTACATATAAGATTCTCCTCAATTTTAAATCTAGATTTTAGTCGATATTATATGAAAAAATTATAAAAGCTCAAGAGTGCGATTCGCCCCCAATTTTTTGCTATTTACTATTTACAAATATATAATA